TAAAGGTGAGAAACTCAACTAGACGTGTTTGGAGGAGAAAGAATGCTGAGTTGAATCCAAAGAACACCTACTGTGAAACATGGGGGTGGAAACATCATGCTTTACAGAATGTAAAATGAAATATTGTACGGTAAGATTAAATTAAATACGGTTTATTACCGTGATAACTATTTAGATAAATAAGTAAATTGCAAGATGACAAACGGATGAATGTTTATGGAGGCACTTCACAGAGCTCAGGTGTTTAGCAGCCTGTGGGATACCTTACCTCTTGTATTTGTTTACAGTGCAACCAAACGAGACTTTTGAAAAGAAAGCCTTTTCAAAATGTGATGTTTTCCACGACGCCACAGGCAAAGAGCAACTGGTTTCATGATGCACACCATGTGATGTTTGTCACACAACAGCAGGGCAGAGTGGAGTTTTGTAGTTATGCAAATCTAACAGGTCAAGGTAATTTAGTTGTTCCTGCAGCGTTTAAACATGTTGGGAAATGACCTAAGTTGAATGCTTTTAGCAGGAGAGGCAGATTGTATTAACAGTAACTTAATCTGATGATGCTGTCGAAAAGTGAATATTAAATGACGCCGATATCAATGAGATCAAATGAAAACACTCTGGATTACATGCTTTATACCTTTCTGTGAAATCAAAAACACAGTATATTAAAGCTGCAACTATTCTATTCATAATCCTTTAATAGTTTCTATTATTGTGAGGAAAATATCACTCGACACCGGGATGAGAATCAACAGTCAGGTACTAATTTATTCTTGCGAGAAGAAGCAGAGTTAAGTCACATACAAAGGATATGGTTCAACTCACACACATGAGGTATGCTGCTCAAGGGAGCAGGAAACAACATCAAGCTTATATAGTCTAAAGTCAGGAGGTAACAACAAAGCCGTAAATCTGTTTGGCGTCATCAGGCGTCGGGACATCTCTGGAAAGGGAGTGTTGCTCTTTGCCCCTCAAAGACGAGAGGAGACAAAGTGTGTGTGCTCTCGTTGGAATCAACCACATGAATGATGCCCTGCCTTCTCCTATCTACGAAGAGGCAGCTGCAAGGTCACACTCAGTATCCTGCCCATCAGAAAACCCATAATAAAGAAGACACCTTGTATTTTCTCCAACAATTATTTAGAGAGAGAAATACTTACCAAATAATCTGTTTTCAGTTTCTTAAATGTGAAAAAGTGTTTGAGCTGTACAGTATATTGATGTCTCTTTTTGGACTGTTTCTCATGGAAAACAGAGCATTAAAGGTGGGGGAGGTAAGTTTGAGAAACCGGCTCGAGATACACTTTCTGTTATATTCCATGGAACGCTCTTAACATCCCGATAGCTTTGACAAAAAATCCATTAAAAAAAAGTCATCTGTGGAAGCCGTAGCGCTGTAAAAAGCACGACCAATCATCTGAGCCGGCCCGGCTAAAGTAACTGGATGGCCTACCTGCCTGTCAGCCTTCCATCTGTGCACAAACTCATCTCGTGCCCTCATTGGTCATGTGCTCGTACGTGTGTGTTGGAGGAGGGGCTCTGTAAGGAAGTGGCAGATTTGTTCCGGCTGTGTATTTTCAAATTCTAGCGCACTCGAGCTGGTTTCTCCAAAATGACCTACCCCACCTTTAAGAGACGTGAAGACATCTTTTGGGAACTGTGGTAGTTATTTTCTGCTGATCCCCGATTATTTACACCCCAAACAACTACTAGATTAGTCAAGAAGAACATCAAGTATGTGATTCGATAATGGGAATAATTGTTGTTGCCCTAAAGCAAAAATGTAATGGCTCAATAAACACTGTCGAAAACAGGGACTGATTTTATGCAAATCTTTTGGATATGACTCAGTTTATTGCCGCACCCTTTCTTGGTAATCTTCCTTCTATTTTTATCACACTGACTTTTGTTCTCACGAATAAAACCTGATATCTCTTCATGGTTTTAAAGCAATTACATAATCACACACTGCACACCTCCAGTTGTTGTAAGGGTAATCCAAAATACACAAAGTTATTTCATCACTGCTGATCTGTATTTCGTGCAGCAACTACCAACACCTAATCTTCATCAACAGTATTGAACAATGAAAGCAGCACACAATGCAACTCAGTTCAGTAACCCTGCAGAAAAAGGTTTCCATATGCATCATATATTATTGATTTTTACTGAATGAACCTCTGACACAAGTACAGTGTTTTGCATGTCTCTCTTTTACCATCTGTCCAGATTATTCCATGTTGCTTCTGTTTCTAATAAAACACAGAATGAATGTGTTTTCCTCTCATGCAGGTCCTGTGTATCGATGAAGCCACAGCCAGCGTGGATCAGAAGACGGACAAACTGCTGCAGCAGACCATCAGAGAGAAGTTTCGGGACAAGACCGTCCTCACTATCGCACACAGGTAGACGTTTTTCCTAAAATCCATGCCAATTTAACCCCCGAGTCAAAACTAAACAGAAGAAAGCCAAGTGTAGTTATTACGCTCCATATATATGAGCATAAATTAGCATCGTAAGGACTGCCTCGACAAAGAGCAACAGGATTTGTATATTGTATGTTTTAATATTTCAGAAAATCAAACAAATGTTTATGATACTTACACATACTCAGCAGCATAATCTCCACATATTAACACCACAACAAGCTAACGTTGGGCTGTAAAGGAACTACAGCACGGTCACATGACTTCACGTCACCACCGCTAAGCTAAAGGTGGCTAATGTTGGGCTATAAAGGAACTACAGCACGGTCACATGACTTCACGTCACCACCGCTAAGCTAAAGGTGGCTAATGTTGGGCTATAAAGGAACTACAGCACGGTCACATGACTTCACGTCACCACCGCTAAGCTAAAGGCGGCTAATGTTGGGCTATAAAGGAACTACAGCACGGTCACATGACTTCACGTCACCACCGCTAAGCTAAAGGGGCTAATGTTGGGCTATAAAGGAACTACAGCACGGTCACATGACTTCACGTCTCCCCCGCTAAGCTAAAGGTGGCTAATGTTGGGCTATAAAGGAACTACAGCACGGTCACATGACTTCACGTCACCCCCGCTAAGCTAAAGGTGGCTAATGTTGGGCTATAAAGGAACTACAGCACGGTCACATGCACAGGAACTACACACATCCCCTACAGACTGAGCTAGTGCCGCCCCTACGTTTTTGATCCAGTCTTTCTTTGTTGAATAAGAAATGTTTTCTATTTCTATTTGTGTGTGTGCAGGATCAACACCATCATGGACTGCGACAGGGTGCTGGTGATGCATGCTGGGAAGGTTGTGGAGTTTGACACCCCGGCCGCTCTCTGCCAATCAGACGACTCTATCTTCCAGAGAATGGTCGGTTAGAGGAGAGTGAGACGGATAAAAGACAATGAAAGAAGAGAAACAGATTTATTTGTATAGTTTTTTTTACCTTGAATAGCTTCCTGGAAACGTCCTGCTTTCTTCAGCTCCGTCCTGATCACAAGTGTTGCTGCTTTTTACTGTTTCTGCAGAGAAATGGGGAATTTTATGCTTCTTTTTGGACTTGGAAGCAAGGAGCAGTGCGTTTATGATCATATTTTCTTATTTCCAGCTGACATTTAGTTTCTTTAAAGTGATTATTGTAATACGTAGGTTTCTTACAATTGAATTGTGAGGAATTTAAGGTCCTTTATTATAATTTATTTACATAACCATTGCATCTTTTCTAATAAGAATTGCATAAAGATTGAAAATCCAAGCAGGGTGACCAACCAATCGACAACACACTTATTTATTATTTTGTTTTTATTTAACCAAAGTTTCTCATCTTTTGTTTTGTATTTTTAATTGTTATTATTCAGTTTTATGTCTTTATTGTTATTTGTTCCGAATGAAAAGCAGCTGCATTTGATGAGTGTTAATATTAAAGCCATAAACATGTGGGTCAACCTTATTAACATTTATCGTAAAATCACAAACTCACACGTTTTGGACGACACTACAACTTTTATAAGTGTGTTTTTTTTTTTTTAGAAACCACACAGTCTTTTTTTATAAGCAGAGGGCATGTTGTCACAATACATTATTTGTCTTCTCTGCAAATAATTGACCGTCAGTCACGCAGAATATCTACTCTTCCTGGAGACAGAGTTTAAATCCTTCAGTGTGTTTGTCCTCTCATATATCCGTTATAAACAACTGTTATTTAATTTTTCCAAACCTGTGTAAACATCGAAACATTTATCGCACGGTTTTATACTGTAAAAACATGTTTAAGGGACATAAATAAACCTTCAAATAACGGCTGTTTCCATCCCCTCATTAATCATTTTGTCTGTAAAGCTTTCAGAAACAGTGAAAAATGCCTATGTTCCAATTTCCTAGATACAGCACATGAACCTGTGAACACCCACAACCACCCCGACGGCACCCCACGTGGTGTGGAGGGGTCGTCACACTGACAACATTACATTGCTAAATTCCCAAAATAATAATTTAACTATAATAAAAAAGATGGTTTGAGAACCTAAAACCAGTGTCGTAGTCAAGTCACCAATTCACGAGTCCAAGTCACTCTCGAGTCCCCACTCTTCGAGTCAGAGTCCAAGTTCGAGTCACCAAGGAGTGTCCGAGCCGAGTCATCATTACCTGTGTTCGAGTCCAAGTCATCGTGCGCGAGAATTCATGAGTCCAAGTCCGAGTTGCGTCAATTAGTGCACGAGTCCGAGTCCCGAAAATCGACACTCGAGTCCGACCCGAGTCCAGGACTCGAGTAATCCATCTCTGCCTAAAACCATTTCATAATTTTGCATTTTTGCTATGAAATGGCTCCTAACAATTAAAGGTGGGGTAGGTAAGTTTGAGAAACCGGCTCGAGATACACTTTTTGTTATATTCCATGGAATGCTCTTAACATCTCGATAGCAATGAATATCTGAAGTGCTTTGACAACAAATCCATAAAAAAATGTAATCTGTGGAAGCCGTAGCGCTGTAAAAAGCACGACCAATCATCTGAGCCGGCTAAAGTAACTGGATGGCCTACCTGCCTGTCAGCCTTCCATCTGTGCACAAACTTATCTCGTGCCCTCATTGGTCATGTGCGCGTTCGTGTGTGTTGGAGGAGGGGCTCTGTAAGGAAGTGGCAGATTTTTTCCGGCTGTGTATTTTCAAATTCTAGCGCACTCGAGCTGGTTTCTCCAAAATGACCTACCCCACCTTTAATAGTGGATTCATATAGTGTGGATTTATGTTCCCAAACACATGTTTTCCGCTTATAGGAGTCTTTCAATCAAATAAATTACAAAAGCTAGGAGTTTGGTAGCGCGTTGAAGCTGCGTGCATTACATTTTTATTTATAAATGTGGCGTCATAGTTTTTATCAGACATCCGTTTCCTCGAATAGATCAAATCTATATTAGCATCTCTGTTTCCGATCCATTAGCAACTCATTCACCCCATTCTTTAGGATGTACAAAGCAAGAACAAAGTAACTCAGTTTTTTATTCAAGGATTATTAACTTTCATTTACCAATACAGGGTTGCACAATGAAACACAGCCTAGTCGAAAAACATGACAAAACAGAACATTTAATTTCTGAAGACCATCTTTTAAATTGAGGGAGGAATGGAAATGAAGCAACAACAGTAGAGCATTTTCCCCTGGATGATTATATAGCCAGCATCTAAACATTAAACAAATTGAAATCAGAGAAATATTGTCCAATGACTTCAACCTAGTAGTCCAACCTAACTTTTACTTTAACCCTATTGATGTAAACACAACTATGCACACATTCATGTTGCTGATTAGCCTTGATGCTATATCCCAATTAGTATGCTCTTGTTCTTGGTCTTGTTATTTTGTATATTTGTAAGCTGGCCTTGAATTTATCATCTCACTGGTTCCCTAGCAGGATGATCTCCACATATTAACACCACTTTATTTATACCAGATTTCTGAAGTAAAAAGCTAACGTTGGGCTATAAAGAACTACAG